AACCAGTAGGAACACGTTCCTCTGGGAGTACTTTTGACCCCATAACATGTACATACACCTGACTCTCTGGTTATGGGTAGTCTATGTAGATACTTCTTTCGCGGATATTGGTTTAAAGTGTCTCCGCTCGATCTTATTTGGACGGACATTCTTAATCTATCATTGCGAGGTTTATCGCACGTAGACTCTCCACGTTTTACTTTTTCTCTTGTTTGTCTTTTTGTCGTAAGTCCTTTCTTTTTCGATTCTTCTCCTCCTCGAATCATTTATATGATTCGGGAGGGAGATTTATTCGAATAAGGGAATTATACGACGATCGACAAGTTGGCGACTCTCTTTTAAAAATAATAAAAAAAAAATGAACGGAAACATCCATTTTGAGCTGCATGCAATCCAATTCGAGCCAACCCTAGCTCGTCTCAAAATCAGATCATTCATAACCCTAACAATGATGCATTTCAAAAATAAAATAAGCACAACCAAAGCAGCAGCTGCAAGAACACTACTGAGCCACTAGTGAAAACAAGAACATGAAAAGAACAAACAACGCACGCGGCTTGCATGGACAAACCCATGCAAAACCCGAGCACAAGTGTAGCCGAGAGCAACAAACATAAGAATGAGAGAAGCCCTAGTGTCACAAACATAGCCAATGGCATATTAGCTTAGGCTTCTATGTTAATAGATGCTCAAATACTACGGCCCAATGTTTAATTCTTCTAATAAGTAGTATTAAAACTAATGATTTGACTCAAATCAAGTGTTTTGTATGGCCTGTGGTTTCTATCATTGATGAGCAATCTTCATAAAAGAAATAATAACCATGCAATCTCTTTACATTTAACTAGGCTAGAGGTAAATACACTTGATATTGATGTGTCAACAAGAAATTTCTAGCATAATGCATGAATCCCAACGCATTTTGAGCAAGAAACATTCCAAAATCACATTCAAGATCATCTGAGCTCTAATTCCAACAAGTTTATATTCAAGTTGAGCATCTCAACAAAACGAACTCAATGATGCTAAAAATGATCCAGTCTGAATCCAAACACAGATCATGCACCAGAAGTGTAGTCAAAATTTTTTATGCATCAATTGAAAGGCTAAATGATATCAAAATTTAACATGCTTATAATCAAATCAGGTGGCTCAACAAGAGGAATCCCACAAGTTAAAGAATCAATCAATTTTGAGGTCGTCAAGACACTTACATGTTATAAAAATAACCTATGTTAAAATGAATCAGTGACATCATTTGATAAAGTGTTTTGAAGTTCCGGTAAAATTTGTTAAAATACCATTCTCCAAAACTATAAATAAACCCACATTATTCACTTGAAAGGGGATGAAAAAGAAGAAAGTGAGATGAACACTAAAATTTAACACTTGATGTCCTGACGGATGTTCAAAATTAGCTTCCAAGCTCTAGGAATCGTTGTCGACCATCAGTCGTTGTATAAATCCGACCATTTTCGACCACGACCAACAATTTTTGCAGCTAACTACAGTGGTTATAGCTACCAACTACAACTTTTGCAGCCAACTACGATTTTATAGCCACCAACTACGACTTTGGTAACTGTACTACGGCTGTTACAGTCACAAAGCACGATTTTTATAGCTAAATACAACTTTAATTGCCAACTACAACTTTTATAGCCCCACCACGACTATTGTACTATGACTACAACAGTTATAGTCCCAACAACCCTTTTATATTTACAACTCTTGGGTAATTTTAAAGTACCTATGAGTTAGTTTGTAATCTCATCTCCCCTAATCCAAGTGAAGTGTGGACCTCTATAATCCTGATTACATAGTGGATTATTTAAATTGAATCCGACCCAATGGCTTTTTCCCTTTTTAAGATTTTCCATGTAAAAAATATTGGTGTCCCCTCCCACGACATTTCTTTTATTTGTGTATATGTCTGATCTTCATGCAATTCTAAAATTTTAAATTATTACTCTACCGTCCTGAATTTTCAAGCAAATAACAATAATAATAAACAACAAGCATAAAAAAATCCCAATAGTTTTGAATAACGAATTTAGTTTCTATTAGTAGAATCTATTAGGAAAGCAATTTCTTTTATCAAGGCAATTAATAAAGAAGAGAGAATAAAAATGACTTTTCTATGTTTTTATTGAGTTTTAAAAAGTAAATGATCAAGCAACAAAAAAATTGTATGCTTTAAAGCAGAAAAGCATGTGATAAAGATATGCTAACATAATTAAAGATGTGTATGTTGGGGCAATAACTAGATGCAGAAGCAATTATGGAGTGCTTCAAGAATTGCAGCCGTGAATTGTGTGAAAAAATTTGTTCAACCCATTAGTGTGTGGGCTTGATGAACTACCTTATTGTAGCAATTTGATGCAAGCACAATGTTAAAAGCAGTTGCGATAGTGTCAAAAAAATATCCAATCGCTGTGAACAAAAAAAAAAAGCTAAGGTTATTTTATATAAACTTTCGCAAAGTCTATAATTCTATTGTTTCGTCATTTATTATCATTCTACAAATATTTAAGGGACTACATTAAACAAAAGCTTATGATGCATCCTTCATAGTTATTGCAAAATATTTTCTTTGTATAAACATGAATGTACAGGAAAGCCAATCTTGACTAACCATGTAACTTCAATGTTGAGTCTTTTGCAATTATTTTCAATCCCCATTTTTTGCTCTGTCGCCAACAACCCATCTTGTCTTACAATTGAAAACAATAAAAGCTCTATTGGGAAATCCTTATAGCTTTTCTCAGGTTTTTTTATCTCTATTTCAGTTAGAGCTCCCATATTTGGTTCAGAAGTATAGGATAGATTACATTAAAGCTCTTCATGTTTTCTTTCTTTCTTGAACATGTAGCTCAACTAAATTAATCTACAAATTTACCACTACTCTGACTGTATTATAAGACTTCTATCATATATATCATAAGAACTTTTCCCTTCCCAATAAATGAAATGCCCAGCTTTGATTCCTTGGTCCAATAAAATGTTCTTCCTCAATTTCCAACACGTCCTAAAATCTCATGTCTAACCGTATGTTTAATGGTTTGGCAAACCTTCATTCTTAACTTGTTAACCATAAAACTTATCTACAGTATCAAAAGAAGTGTATGCTGCCATAACATTAACGGTTGCTTGAAATTCAACCTTAGGGGTTGTTTGGTAGCATATTATTAAAACGATTTAAGCATGGATCTAACTTAAATTTAGCCAAACATAAAAAAAAATCAAACTTAAACCCGAAGCTCAGTTAAATTTATTTTTTTGGTGTTCCGTCGCTTTCTTCCCGTGTTCTTCTCATGTAACGTCTAATGGAGACATAATTCCAAATAGGAGTCGGATTTAAAGGATTTGTTTCGCCGTCGATGACCTTCATATCCATGAAAGCTCCGTGGAAGAATTTATCGGATTTGATAAATCCTACTTGATGCTAATCGCAGTTGCAGCCAAACACCGCCTTGATTTGGTAGCCTGAGCAAGATAATGATTAAAGGAACACCACAATAAAAGTAATCTATCACAACCATTCCATATTAGATGTACAAAATTAAACATTGACATAATAAAGAGAGTATGGTTGAAAATCTTCTAAATATTTCACTAATTCAGTAATAAAATCCAGGAGAACTTCTAAATGACAATTTTTTTACAACCAGCTTATAGTCACAGAGGAGGTGAGGCGTCTTACTGAAAAATGAAACAAATATTAGCAAGGCTGCTCAAATTAACCTGGATCGCGTCCCACTTTGCAAGAAAAATATTAGTCAATCTCTCTCGATTCACTGCTAACTAACTTATTTCCTAAATATTACACTACTTCATTAAAAATGGCCAGTAAACTCTTCAAAATGTCAAATTTCTTGTAACTCCTTTATATTCATGGAGGAGGTGAGGCGTTTTATTGACAGATGAAAATCCATTAGCAAAACTGCTCCAACTAACACGAATCATGTACCACTTTTGCAGAAAAAATTATTAGTCAATTTTACTAGATTCATAGTATAATAACTTATCTCTCTGAAGATTCCACTACTTCAGTAATCATAGCCAGGAAGCTCTTCTAGATGACGAATTTCTTACAACCATCTTAAATTCATGGAAGAGGTGAGGAGTCTTATTGACGGATGAAACATCAATTAGCAAAACTGCTCCAATTAACTAGTATATCTTCTTCCACTTTTGCAGAAAAAATATTATTCAATCTCGCTGGATTCATTGCTTACTAACATATCTCCTGAATATTTCACTACTTCAGTAATCATAGCAGTGAAACTTTTCTAAATGAAGAATTTCTTGTAACTATCTTATATCCATAGAGGAGTTGAGGATTCTCATTGATACACGAAACAACTATTAGCAAGACTACTCAAACTAAACTAGATCTTCTACAAATTCTGCAGGAAAATGTCAGTTAATCACCCTTGATTCACAGTTAAATAACTTATCTTCTGCCCCAAACTACTAGGCATACAATCTCAGTTGCTACATATCAGTCTGCATCTCAAACCCTATGGTAGAAGTCCAATGCTATATAATTATAGCGTCCAATTACGCCATTTAAAGAAAAAAAAATCACGAGAAAAAGCATTATTATACTTCATCTGAAGTGCAACAAAATGTCTTAAAATCAATGCCGTAAGTCAAGAGCAGGCGCATGATAGAACACAGGGTCTTCAAGTCAATGGAATTATTTTTCAGTAGCATCAATTTTAATACTTCCATCACAAACATGCGGATAAAATCTAACCAAATCACCGGTCCATACGAAAAAAAAGAAATTCAAAACTAATAGATTTTCATGAATTTTTCTCTTCAAATATACACAGAGGAAAGACAAAGATCAATCACGGAGAATAAAAATAAAAACCCGATAAAAATTTCTCAAAGCTGAAGATTTGATGCAAAAGAGAATCAAACCAGAAAAAATAACCCTAGAAAAGGTAACAACCAATATTGAAACCCGAAGAGAGAAGGAAAGATGTTACCCCACTCATCTTCTTCCACAGATTGGTTGGACTGATTCAGAGCGGGGTCCATGGCGCCCAAATGAACATGGATATCAATAGCTGCCGGGCACAGGACCCAAACCTAGCCAGATCAGAAGAAGAAGAAGAGAAGGCGTAGAGACGACTCTCCCTATCTGTTTACGAAGAAATCTAAAAAATGGATAGAGGAAAGAGAGCAAGCAAGCCTCGAATCCAAGATTGGTGAGGAGCAGTTAAACAGAAAGATATGGTAAGTAAATCAGGGCTAATATTACAGTGTTTACTAAAATACCCTAATTTTGGGCAAGGAGATTTTTGGCTAGCCAAATTTATTGCAACGGAAAAAAAATTCATAAAAAGCTCATTACAATATAGTTTATAGTAAACTTTTTTATTGCATATATTGTAATCAAAATAAATGCTAAAATGTTTAAAAGATAAATTATATAATATATATGTATATATATCTATACACCAAAAATACCAACACGAATCTCGAAAAGAACGAACGACCAACATGAAATAGTCTCCTCTCGAGGTAAGCAATTAATAGTCGATTCAAGGCAGCATGAAGACACGTCTCCATACTCGGAACAGATTCAAGTTCTATAAATGGTCGCCGTTTGATAGCGGCAAGACCCGTCGAAAATGAGGCATAAATCATCTCCTTAACAAGTCTCTTCGAATACCATGCATGGGCTACGATAAAATCCGCCTAAGAGCTTGCAAAATTAAGAGATCTGGCCGAGACGACGAATCAATCAGGCAAGAGACATGAGCCCTATAAAAATAGAGTCAAATGGAAAGTGAGCCACAACTTATTCCACGAAAAAAGCTGACTGATCATGTTTGACCGACCATCCCCATGTTCAGACCGAACGACCACCTCATAATTGACCGTTCTAGTTGACCGTACCAAAAGACACCGAGTTAGATTGTCTTGTGGTCGAACATCTCAACCGACAAACATGTACTACAAAGAGCACAAATGTGAAATGTCACTCGGTCGGTCGCCTAAGTCTGTTGACTTCAAGCCAACCGACCAGCCGATTGTCGTCAATGATGAATTTCAAATTGTAATGCAAATATGACATAAAATCTATGTAATCAATTAGAGCATTAATGACATTAAGATTGGTTTCCATAATCGTTCCCCCTTTTTTTGTAATTTTATTAAACACACCACTATAAGACGGGACAAAAACAAGAATAAAGGAATCTCTCCTCGATCCTACCTTGAGAAATTCCAGACTTATTCTACTCTCTCTCTTCATTTCTCTCCTTCACTTGACTCTAACTCTTGAAGTGTGATTCACAAAGAACAAATTAGGATGGATATGCAAGAGAAGCGAAGCGGAGCTAATTATGAAGAAGAGACTTTCCACAAAGAGATAGCATGCATTGAACCCAATAGAGACGCTACACAACCAGAAGTGTGCAAGTCTTGGGGCTGCGAGCTTAGATGACTCTCATGATAGAGCAATTTGAGGTCCTCCGGGTAGCAATCTCCCCGAGGAACGACTAGACACCTCATATGGAGGAAGGACCTCAGGGGCAGGGGGTTCGCCTTCAAAGGTCCCCATGGTGAACCCTCTTGTTCTCAACAACCAAGTTAGCAACCATTAGATGGAAGGATGATAAATTTTAGTAAACAACTTTTTGCTTTCATCATGGTATAAAATTTTCTAATTTTATTTCTATCTTGATTTTCTCTATTACTTTAAAGAGTCATTGTTTAGTGAAATTTTCTTATCAATGAAGTTTTCTTTATTCCCATACAAAAATTTTTATGTGTAGAAAAACCCCTCGAGAGCAAGTGACAGACAATGTCTCTACCTACGCCTTGTGGAAGTCAAACCTAGGACGTAAGTCTTGTGGGGAAGCTAAAAGTAGATATATTCCTCGTATCAACTGAGTTTCCAACTTCTTCCGTACCTCTCCTTGAGATTTTATATTTATTACATGATTCATAACATCATCTGTCAGACATAAACGTGTGATCTTTGTCTCTCATTGTTGCAATTCTTCCCAATCTTCATCCTCCATGGTATCTGATTTTCTTGTTCGCAAAGCCTTCAAGATTTCTTGCTACGTCAACAAATCATTTACCATTGTTTGTCATAATCTGAAGTTACTGGTTCCATCATATTTCACCACTTCGAATTTTGCAACGGACAATGCATCTCTAATTACTCTTCCAGCAACCTTCTTTGTCTTGCACGGAAGTCAAATCGTCGAACCGACGAATTTGCCGAACTGCTTCCCGCGAGTTCGTCTGCCTCTATTGCGAAGAAGAGCCTTAATTCTTCGTCGAAGTGCCGCCTGGTCGTGAATCTTTGCATGGTCGCTGAAGTGCCACCTGGTCGCGAGAACCGCTCGCTAACTCTTCTACGAAATTGTGACAAATCGCTGAAACCCTTGTTGAATTCGCCGAAGCTTTTCGCCGCCGACCTTCCTGCGTTGAATCGTCTGAAGCCCTAGCTGTACTCCTCTGCCAAATCGCCAAATCCTCCTTCGTCCTTCCTGCGCCGAACTCATCTGCCCTAGAACTTCACTCTGATACCATTTATTGAGAAATTAAGGCAAAGAAAAGCAAGAATCGATACAAATCAAGAAGAAAACACATAGATTTAACGAGGTTCAGCAATTTGCCTACGTCATTGGGAGCGGAGCGACAACTTTTCTTTCAATTTAGAAAAAGAAGTACAATTCCCTAAGGTTACAAACA